AAAGACATGTTTACTATATTAGTTGAATATTACTGAACAAAACTAAGAAATAAAGAAATCTGAAATGTTTATTTATCGTTCGATTTTTAGTAAAATCTTAGTTAGCCCTGATTTGATATAAATAAAAATCAGTTTTTTAGTAGATTTTGATAATAGTTAATGAAATGTGTGATTGAAAAATTATGAATTTTAACCGATCAAAATTAATTATTTACTTAAATTTCAATAATCTAAAAAAATGAACAAAAAACAAGGGCTCAGTATACCAAGGGTTTGAGCCCAGTTTTTATTGAGAATATATTTTGTAATAGTAATTTTTTTATTTTGTTTTTGAGAATGTGTAGTTAGAAAGTAGAAAAAATTTTGAATTTACATTTAAAATTATTTTATTGAGAGATCGTGTGGTTAAAAATAAATTTGAAAAAAATTGAATTTTTAAAAATTGGAAATCAAACAGGGGCTAAATAATCTATCGTAGAACAGAAAAATTTGCATCTTTGATGATATCATATTTATTTTTAAAAAATATAAAATTTATTTAAAAATACTTTGACCCAACTTTTAATTCGTCTACGTCAATTTTTGATAGCAGCCAATCACGGCGTTGCTTTAATTATGTGAAAACATATCTGTAAGCGTAGCATTGAGGCCCCGTTTGGGAGAAATTTTAATCAAGATTTTAATCAAAATTCTAGCCATTAACTATCAAATCAGCCACCATTTTGGACATTCCCTCTCACAGGTGGAGCCCACGATTTAACTTTAACGGCTATAATTTTGATTAAAATCCCATAAAAATTTCTCCCAAACACACTCTTAGAATTTAAACAACAAATTCAGCCACCATTTTTGACTTTCCCTCTCACAGATGGGGCCCACAAATTGACTATAACGACTATAATTTTGATTAAAATCCCACAAAAATTGCTCCCAAACACCCTCTGAACTTCCACACACATGCTACAATTGGTAGACAAAAATAAAGCATCTTTAGAGGAATATTCTGTAGTTGAAAAGTGAGAGAATGCGAAACTGTTGACTAATAAATATCAGAAAGTAAAGTGAATACTCGGACAGCACTCTATGAGTCCATAGTGAATACAAGCCACATATTTTTATTTTTTTAAAATTATTTTTCTCTTGAAGTCTTTTCTCATATTTATTATTTTCTGATAATTAGATTAACAAAATTTATGAATTTTGAAAAGGGGAAAACCCAAAAAATACTTGGGAAAATTAAGATCACATTCCTCAACTTTGAAAAATAAGAGATTGTTCTTTTTGTTGTTTTCAGACTATTTTCAGTTCCCAATGTTCGAAAACATTGAAAACACGTTTATTTATCTGTTTTTAGAAACAAATTTTAAAAAACTAGTTTAAAATTTACAAAGAAAACGAAAAATGTCGAAAAAGTCATTTCACCGTTTTCAGTTAAAATCAAGCCAAAACTTCATATTTTTATTCTTGAGAACAATTTTTCAAAATGACAAAAAGAACGCGTTTTCAACAATTTCAAAATTGACACTCAAAACACAAAACTCAAAATGAATTCAAAACTAAAAATTGAAATATGAAGAGAATAACCCTTAAAGTTCTAAGTCGTCAACTAATTCAATATGTAAAATTGAATTTCTACGCGATTGAAATTATCAATGTACACGTTAAAATCGTTTCAAACTTTACGTGATTTAGAGAAATAGTATCATCTTTCTATTCCAATCAACTGAAAGTCGTGTACGATTTTAATGTGCACATTGATGATTTTGGTTAGTTGAAGGCCAAGATTAGTAAATTTAACTACGTTAGAGACCTAACACGTAAAGTTATGAAAGTTGTGAATTCTTAACCATGTTTGATGTTACGTAAAAGGTTGGAGCGTCTAGGAATAATTTTCCCAAAATATTTGGAGAAAAAATGGTTTCTAAATTTATAATCATCCCCGAAAATAGTTCTTTACAAATTCTTCTTCTCTTCTTGCTTTGTCCTATATATAGCTGTCTTATGCAGAGCATTGGACCAGAACACCCCCTCTTTCTCTTTCTCTCTCTCTACCTCTGATCCCCTTTCATAAAGAAATTCAGAGAATCAGAGGCCCGGAATTGAGGTACGGTATGAAGAACTTTTAAGCGAAAGTTTCAATTTCTGGACCCATAGAAAAAGTAAAAGAAACCATCTTTTTTCAAATGCAATCCTTTTTTGCACGAGCTGCATCTGTGTTGTTTTCTTTTGATTGGCTAATATTTAGATATTTCTTTTTTCAGTGTAACTATGTGGGTCGGGATCAAAATTTACTTTCACTTTGATTTCTATCAAATTCGTGATTGTCGCTGCCTTTTCTCATCTTTTGCAAGGTCTTTGCCTGTTTCAGTCCATTTCCGGATTCAAAATTCGGGTTTAAGAGAAAAGAGTGAAGAATTTGATGGCCAGTAGGAAATTGGAGAAATTGGCATCAATTGATTCTCCGGATTCAAAATTCGGGTTTAAGAGAAAAGAGTGAAGAATTTGATGGCCAGTAGGAAAGTGGAGAAATTGGCATCAATTGATGCCCAATTGAGGCTTTTGGTGCCTGGGAAAGTGCCCGAGGATGACAAGCTTGTTGAGTATGATGCTCTGCTTTTGGATCGTTTTCTAGATATTCTTCAAGATTTGCACGGAGAGGATCTCAAGGAAACGGTATACATACTGATTTCTGGAATTGGAACTTTGATTGTATGTTTTAGCAGTACCTTTGTTTTTTATTTTGATGTCAAACGTCTGATCTTGACATTGAGAACTTTTTCAATACTACTGATGTTGTAATTCATCAGTGTTGCTAGACTATTTGTATTTGGATAAATCTTCTCATCCTTCGACAACATTGGACAAGATTAAGGAAGAAAATGAACTTAAAATCTAATTCAGTTATAAACGGATAGTGCTACCCACTTCTGTGATCAAACTTGCGCTGCAGTTCTAAGAAGCAAAATTGAAGACTTGCGAAAAAGCAAGCTGGTGAACACCAGTTTTTATGTTAATTTTGGTTGATTAAACTATATATATTTTTTGATTTCACCAGTTGTTCTGTGGAGCAGTGTAGCAATGGCATTTTTTAATATCCTCGATAAATATAGGTACAAGAGTGTTATGAACTTTCTGCCGAGTATGAAGGTGGCAAGCATGATCCGAAAAAGTTAGAGGAGCTTGGAAATGTGTTGACTAGTTTGGACCCGGGGGATTCAATTGTAATTGCAAAAGCATTCTCTCACATGCTTAACTTGGCCAACTTGGCTGAGGAAGTTCAGGTTGCTTACCTCCGGCAGAACAAAAAGAAAAAGGGTGATTATACTGATGAATGCTCTGCAACTACTGAATCAGACATTGAAGAGACTCTTAAGAGACTTGTGGTTGATTTAAAGAAGTCCCCACAAGAAGTTTTTGATGCATTAAAGAATCAAACTGTGGATTTGGTGTTTACTGCTCATCCAACTCAATCTATTCGAAGATCGTTACTTCAGAAGCATGGGAGGTTTGTTTTGCTGATAATATGTTTATCGGGTTACACACTCAAGTCATATAACTTGCTCGGTTTTGATAGGCACCATTTGAAACTTTCTATCTGCTCAACCTTTCTAACTTCTGTTTGTGACTTCATCTTATCCAGAATTCGAGATTGCTTGGCTCAGTTGTATGCCAAAGACATCACACCTGATGATAAACAGGAGCTTGACGAGGCTTTACAGAGGGAGGTAAATATTGGGTGCTGCATTAATTATTTCTGCAACTTTAGATTATACGCCTGGATGCATATAGATTTTCTTTTAATCTTACACACCTGATATTCCCCAATTAGCATCTGTTTGCATCTTAGTTTCTTTAATGTGGAAATCAANTTTGCATCTTAGTTTCTTTAATGTGGAAATCAATATTCCCCAATTAGCCTTTGTCTTTGTACAAGGAGTTTCTCAACCTGGACTTATCATCATATCAAATTTCTCTTTCAAGTTATTCAAAATGACATGGTAAAGGATTGTCTTCATTTCCATGCCAGTTGTAAATTATTGAAGGACAATATGCCTTTCGAGATTTGATTGGAAGTTATGTGCCTTCTATTTATTCAAATCAATCTTGAAGCAGTTTATGCTTTCTACTGCAATAAGTGCATAATTACTTTGCAATTTCAAGTTTTTTTAGTTACAAGTTAGGTGCATCATTCTATATTTATTGAAGAGGTCTTTCTACTATGCGTGGCTTTCTTTCTCAGGAAAATCATCTTAAAAGTTACAGTTCCTTACTAATGATCGATGCTCTATATTTTTTTAATGTACATATACACTCAGGAATATACATATACACTTGTCAGGAATGCCCTGAATCAGTGACCAGATTAACTCAAAACAGCTTACCTTTTTGTCCTGTGGAACATGAACACGTTATTTTCCATTAAATTGAGTTCTTAATTATTTGTAGTTTGATTTTTGTATTTGCCATACAGAGCATAATTCTTCTCGAATTACAGTAACATTGTGTATGTTGAAAAACTTAAGTTTGAGATTTGATGTTTGGAAGACGCTCCAGGAAATAGCTTGCTTATAGTGTTGACGTTGTTTTATCTTCTATTTGATTGCAGATTCAAGCTGCCTTCCGAACAGATGAGATACGAAGGACTCCTCCTACCCCACAAGATGAAATGAGAGCTGGAATGAGTTACTTCCATGAGACAATCTGGAATGGCGTGCCAAAGTTTCTACGCCGTGTTGATACAGCGCTTAAGAATATTGGGATTAACGAACGTGTTCCTTACAATGCCCCTCTAATCCAATTTTCTTCTTGGATGGGTGGAGACCGTGATGGTATAATCCTTATTGTTCAAGACAAATACCATCTATTATATAGTGTCACAAATTAGTTGGAATATAGGAAACAGAACATATCCTGTTGAAAGTTTTAATGCGTGTTTAAGTAAATTTATCATTTCCATACATTGTTGCATTCGTTGTTTAGTTGTTATATATATTGTATGACTTTCTAACAATAGGAATAACATTTTATTGTAATTTCAAAGAGACGTAGCATAACATTCCCTTGTTTTTTAATGCTTTACATCCGTGTAAAATCAAATGCAGGCAATCCAAGGGTAACTCCCGAGGTCACAAGAGATGTTTGTCTATTGGCTAGAATGATGGCTGCTAAGTTGTACTATTCCAAAATAGAGGATCTCATGTTTGAGGTATTCAGTAATCAAATAACTAATTCACATGAGATTTTTTCAGCTTCTAGTCTGTAATCAATGTTATGTTACCTTTTTTCTAATTCCCCTACTTTTGCCAGTTGTCTATGTGGCGTTGCAGTGATGAGCTTCGTGTTCGAGCAGATGAACACCACATATCTTCAAAGAGAGATACGAAGCATTACATAGGTAATCTACGTACTCTTGAGTCAATATTAGATACAATTTTATAATTCTTTTCTCCAGACATCCCACCTCTTCCTATAATTATGGATTTAAGAACCAGAGGCGAATTTAATGGAGGCTTTTGATATTTATTTTTACTTTCTCTCTCTCTCTCTCACACTTAAGTTCAAAATGACCCTAACGACCCTTCTGCCAAGCAGAATTTTGGAAACAAGTTCCACCCAACGAGCCCTATCGTGTCATTCTTGGTGATGTGAGAGATAAGCTCTATCAGACACGCGAGCGTTCTCGTCATTTATTAGCCCATGGAATATCTGACATTCCGGAGGAGGCAACTTACACCAATGTCGAGCAGGTATTTTTTTCCTTCATCTTCCAAATTAACCACTGACAAGTGCATGTGCACAAGCAAAAACCAATCCTATAGCATGCATTAATCTTCCCGTCCTGACAGAACATTCTCTTAAGCATGAAAATTTGAAGTTCTTCAGTCTCAATGTCTGCATGGACTTGCACACGTCTGCAATTCTTTTTCGTTGCAAATGCAAGCATCTATATTATTCGCGCATTTGCATTTTAAATTACTAGGTTCCAAATAGTGAATTCTTTTAACCCAGATATGTAAACAAGGTACTGAATCAATTTTACACTTTATGCAGTTCTTAGAACCTCTCGAGCTCTGCTACAGATCCCTTTGTGCTTGTGGGGACCGGCCCGTAGCTGATGGAAGCCTTCTGGATTTCCTGAGGCAAGTTTCCACCTTTGGGCTCTCACTTGTGAGACTTGATATAAGACAAGAGTCGGACAGACACACTGATGTCCTGGATGCCATTACCAAACACTTGGAAATTGGTTCATATCGAGAATGGTCAGAAGAGCGTAGGCAGGAATGGCTGCTATCTGAACTTAGTGGCAAGCGACCCCTCTTTGGACCAGATCTTCCAAAAACTGAAGAGATTGCTGATGTTTTGGATACATTCCATGTCTTAGCAGAACTCCCACCAGACTGCTTTGGAGCATATATTATTTCTATGGCTACAGCAACATCTGACGTGTTAGCAGTTGAGCTTCTACAGCGTGAATGCCATGTGAAGACCCCATTAAGAGTTGTTCCACTTTTTGAGAAATTAGATGATCTTGAAGCTGCTCCTGCTGCTGTTGCACGGCTTTTCTCTATCGATTGGTACAGAAATCGGATTAATGGTAAGCAAGAAGTCATGATTGGGTACTCAGACTCCGGAAAAGATGCTGGTCGTCTGTCGGCAGCCTGGCAACTGTACAAGGCTCAGGAGGAGCTTATCAAAGTTGCAAAGCAGTACGGAGTGAAATTGACTATGTTCCACGGTCGAGGTGGGACAGTTGGAAGAGGAGGTGGCCCCACTCACCTTGCTATATTGTCCCAACCTCCAGATACTGTACATGGATCTCTCCGTGTCACGGTTCAGGGAGAAGTTATTGAGCAATCGTTTGGGGAGGAGCACTTGTGTTTCAGAACACTCCAAAGGTTTACTGCTGCTACACTTGAACATGGAATGCATCCACCTGTCGCCCCTAAACCCGAGTGGCGTGCACTTTTGGATGAAATTGCTGTTGCTTCCACAGAAGAGTACCGCTCAATTGTATTCAAAGAACCCCGGTTTGTCGAGTATTTCCGCCTTGTGAGTAACTAAAATGATGCGTCATATTTTTTCTTTTTCTGCAAGGACGATCACTAATTTGATATCAATTCAAATAACGAAAACTTTTTTCTTCATTATTTTAGGCCACACCAGAATTGGAGTATGGTAGGATGAATATCGGTAGTCGCCCATCGAAGCGGAAACCAAGTGGAGGCATTGAATCGCTCAGAGCTATTCCATGGATCTTTGCCTGGACTCAGACCAGATTTCATCTCCCTGTTTGGCTTGGTTTTGGAGCAGCATTTAAATATGCACTCCAAAAGGACATTAAGAACCTCAAAATGCTACAGGAGATGTACAACGGATGGCCTTTCTTTAGAGTCACTATCGATCTAGTTGAGATGGTGTTTGCCAAGGGAGACCCTGGTATTGCTGCTCTATATGACAAACTCCTCGTTTCAGAAGATCTTTGGTCGTTTGGTCAGCATTTGAGGGCCAACTACGAGGAAACAAAGAGTCTTCTGCTCCAGGTAAGGCCTTAAGAAAATCTAAAATTGTGAAATTTTGGTTGATTTTTTTGTTCATTTTATTGCTCTAAACCAAGTGCTGGAGATTATTTTGATTGAGTTATTCCGCTTTTGGTAGATTGCTGGACACAGGGATCTTCTAGAAGGAGACCCCTACTTGAAGCAACGACTTCGTTTGCGTGATTCGTACATTACAACTTTGAATGTGAGCCAGGCTTACACTCTTAAGCGAATTCGTGATCCAAACTACCACGTGAAGTTAAGGCCTCATATCTCCAAAGATTTTATGGAATCAAGCTCGGCTGCTGAACTTGTGAAGTTGAACCCGACAAGTGAGTATGCCCCTGGATTGGAGGACACCCTCATCTTGACCATGAAGGGTATTGCTGCTGGGTTGCAGAACACCGGTTAAGTTTAGTTTGTTTCTTTTTATCCTTCTGTATGAGAGACTTCCACGGGATTTTATAGATTGGCGATCTGTTCGGTTCGAGGTGGATCACCTGGTCACTCCTTGAAAGCGAACTTTTTATATTTATGCGAGAACACCGTTATGCTGAATACAATCAGCTTGGATCAATGTTAGAGGATTACTATCTTGTACCTTTCAATAACAATGTTGCAATGGAATTTATCCTTTTATCTATCATGCATGGACGATTTAGCCCAAGTTTAGTTGATAAAAATTATATTTTCAATAAATTTTAGTAAAATATATGATTGAAAAGTCGATAAAAGTTGTGGATCTCATGAAATATATGATTAAAAATGAATTTGAGAAAAATATAATTTAAAAAAGGGGAGCCAAACATGACTTGAAGAACAAATTAGGGGACTTAAATAATGATGTAGACTCAATCACATGGGTTGATCTTTCACGGGTGATTCGTCGAACTGGAATGGAGGTTTCCCTCGTAGGTCATGTGCATTATTATTTGTCGATTTAAAATAAATGAAACAATAGATTTTTCAATTGTATCACTTATTCCTGTCATGTTTTGACGAGGACGACAATTAGTATATAACAGTTGTGTCGTATGCAGTAAGACAAAGTGCTCTAATTGAACAAAGTGACTTTAAATTGAGACAAAGTTGACAAGTTTAGTTGATAAGTGACTCATTTGACATAAAGTTGAAGTATAGGGACCTAATTGAAAATTCCCGGCTGATTTCCGCAAACACAATTAATGAATCATTAGCAAAATCAAAACGCAAAAGCATCAAATTTCTCCCCTTCAAATACAATCTAAACTTGATGAAGAACATATCGTTGAAGAATTTGATCAAAATGAGGAAAAAGTAAGTATGGAGAGAATATTTGAATTCTGATTTGGGCTTATAATAGTCATGCTATCAAAAATCGTACATGTCGACTACCGAACTTGACGACTGAGAATGAGCACGAACGAGGTCTTCCGGTACTTGAAACAAATGCGACGAGGTGTGTCCTCGTCGTCCATCCGATGTTTAAGTATGTCTTTAATTAATTGTTTCCTAGCCTGCACTATTTTTTCTTTTTAATTCATTGGTAATGCAGTTTTATGTGACCACAAGGACCAGTTGGTTGTACTCAGTTGTTCTTTCTTATTTTTATAAACAAGTTTACTATTTTTCCACCTTTTGTTTTTTAAAATATTTTTGTATACTTCTACCACAGGTTTTGTTGACCCCAAAAAATGTTGCCAACAGATGCCGGGCCCACTCGCGCACACGCAAGCTTGATCCAACACGTTANCTTACAAAGCATTAAATGCTATTACATTGACAAGATAAGACACCAATACACTTTACACAAAAGTCACGTCAATCATTCAAGTAAAGATTTTCATCATGAGTGAATCTTCACACGTGGGTCTTCACTAGCTGCGAAAAAGGGTCTCGGACAGTGCACGTCCACCGAACCGTGGCTGTAGTTAACAATAATGGCCTCGGAATCCACGTCGGAGGTTAGGAAAATATACCCTGATTTAATTAAGCTGGTCCCACTGCTAAAAATATGGTGCCACGTGTCGCTTCCATCTGTGACTCGTCACAGGTTTCTTGCTAAGTTCATTCTCTATGTATGTGATGTCTCTCTCTTCAGCGTTATTTCTTTTTGGGAAGCCTGCCGCAGCAGTTGCTATTGCAGCCACTGGAGTTATTCCTGGGTGGCCATTCTCGATCTTGGCATTTCTTCCAGTTACAGTTTACTCTCTATTTAGGATGTTTAAATATGCATTTATATCTGGCGCTTTCACTTCTCTTGCTCTTATGGTAAGTGAAATTGATAATAATTCAAAGTTCTTTCGAAACTTCATGTTCAATTCCTATTGGCTATCTTATAAGATTTATGAATCTTATTCCGTACTTTTGCGATTTTCTTTAGTCCTTCCTATGATATGCATATAGTATGATAGACACTTCAATGTTTTTCCATGCAGTTTCAGTTTGCGTTGACTACTTCTACTATGGAAAGTGGACATCATCTGTTCTCAATTTGTTGATATATGATGTTGTGGGCGGTGGAGAGAGTCATTTGTATGGAACTGAAGGGCCGTTATTTTACTTGAGAAATGGCTTCAATAACTTCAACTTCTGTTTCATTCTTGCTCTGCTTTTCATTGCCACTCTCCCAATTGCAAGGAAGAAGTATGCTCCAGAGTTGTTGGTTATCATCTCACCCATCTATATCTGGCTAGCTTTTATGTCTTTGCAGCCGCACAAGGAAGAAAGGTCAGATCAAAATTAGCTGTCCCCCCCACCCCCATTCCCTAATAGAAAAATCTTTTCAATCTTTTTATTTTCTCTATTTCCTTTATTTGTTTTAGTTAACAATAAAGTCTTAATTGTCGATCACTGGTTTTGCCTATTCCTAGAGTGTTAGTTAAATATGTATCTGTGCCATTGTTTTTTCTCTCAAGGGATAGCAGTCACATCTTCTCTTTTGATCACTGGTTCCTATTATTTCTGCAAATGTTAGTTAAACATATACGGTGCCAAACTGTTTACATCTGTTTACATCTCAGGTCATTTATTCCACTCTGAAGATACTTTTATATACACGTGAATATTTGGAAAGGTGTCCTATGCCCAAACTTCACTGAAAAGCTAATTTTTCTTAATGGATAGATGAGGAGAGTTAGTTCAGAGAAAAAAAATGCTCATCTAACTATGCATGGTTGGTATAGTTTCTATGCATGCCAATGATGGCATTGATTATGAATTATTCATCAGATGTAAAATTTCTTGTTTTTGCAATTATCTGATGGGAGCTCCACAGTCACATGCATGTTGTTCTACTGTTTATGCTCAAATAATCTCTGTACATCCATGTCACATGCTGCCCACTTCCTATTGAGTAAATAATGGCGCCAAAACAATTGTGTTTCTTGATTTACCACAGTAAGCTTTGCGAAGTCTTTTCAGGTCTGTTTCGGCTAACATATCCAATTATGGGTTTAGGAATTCATGAAATGCTAAAATTAGGATATCTTCATTGGTTTTTTCATAGATTTATAAGGAGATTTGGACAGGCGACATATTTGGTATATGTCATGCCCACCCAGTTATAGGTTTAGGAATTCATGAAATCCTAAAATTAGGATATCTTTACCGGTTTTCCCTTTAGATTTATAAGGAGGTTTAGAAAGGCGACGCATTTGGTATGTGTTATGCCCACCTCTTACTGATTAGTTAGGCTAGAAGTACTAGAATTCCTGAATTTTCACGCCTTAGATTTCGCCTAACAAACAAGAAGGAATTAACTTTGGGGGTATAATATGAATAAGAAAGTATTGACCTTTGTCTATTACTTGTTTTCTTCATTTTTTAATTCTTAATTCATCTGAATAGTAATAATACAACTTTGTTTGATGAGCAACCATCCCTTTTTTACAATGTTAACAAAACTATTGCAACTAGCAGGAAACTTGCCATATTATCCTAATAAAAGAATGGTAATGACTGAAATTTTAACAATTATATTGCCATTGGCAGGAAACTTGCAAAATTATTCGAACAAGAGAACAATAATGATTGAATTTGGTTGGTTTGAGAACATGCTTTGTTTGCGGGAAAAGCTCTCCACTTAACAAATTTAGGAATAGCCTGTGTCTATAATATTAAAGAATTGTACCCCAAGAGAAAACAAAGGATGCTGGTGATTGTTTTGGTTCTATACACTAATATGCGCCAAACTCTGGTTTTCCTTTAAATAAATGGTGTAGACATTCAGTTCTTGAAGCTAAGCGTGTACACAGCAATTCTACTGTGAAAATTGGAAGCGATTATATATACTCTCAAGTCTTTATACTTCATACATACTGCTGCCATCCCATGTTGTAAGGCATTCTTCTTATTATTGGTTGTCACAGAATGAGTTTCATTACAAAATATTAAAGCATCACTTAGATTCCAAAACTACCTTACTCTTTGGATATGGAAAATTGAGAGAAAGTGACGTGCATGTATTCAAATTCATTTAGCAACATCTGTTAGAAAGTGGAGGATAGATTTTTAATTCTAGATAGTGGTGGGAGGTGTCAACATGAGGTGACTTTTCTTAAACCATCTGCTAAGTGCCAAGAGATATATATTTATACAAAGTGAGTTAATATGATAGAGTTTGACCCAAAAAAGCAATTTTTTTCAATTAAAATCAACACTGAATCAAAACATTAGCTGTGTAAACAAACTGCGTCCAAACTGTGTTTGCCACTGGTAATGTATGTTGAACATGCGTTCAACATTCTTTTTCCCGATTTTCAGACACATTTTGCTTGTTGAACATGTCTTGTGGTGTGTAATGAGGATTGTCCTGTTGGATGTGGACCTCAAAGTGTCTGTGAATCAATGCATTCACAGTTTTCTGCAGTTAGTTCACGTGCATTTCTTACTATTATTTTGGTTACATGTAATATAGGTTCTACCCTTTGCATTGGAAGCGAGTGGCACCGTTTTCCATCATCCTTTTTTGTTCCTGATTATGTGAGTGAGGTTCAGTGGATAGATGACGGGTTCAGAGGTCTTCTCCCTTTTCCATTTAACTCTACTTTGGGCGGAACATCAGCAGCACCATCTTATTTCAACAACAAGAACAAGACATCAGATCAACAATATGTAATTTGTTTCTTGCTCACTTTCTCATCAGTAACACCTTTTCTCACTTAAAACAAGGGTTTTGATATTGTTTCTTTGCTTTACTAGTAGCAATGACTTGTTCGACCAACTGATATTGTTTCTTTGCTTAAAACAAGGTGTGTCCTCGTCGTCCATCCGATGCTTAAGTATGTCTTTAATTAATTGTTTCCTAGCCTGCACTATTTTTTCTTTTTAATTCATTGGCAATGCAGTTTTATGTGACCACAAGGACCAGTTGGTTGTACTCAGTTGTTCTTTCTTATTTTTATAAACAAGTTTACTATTTTTCCACCTTTTGTTTTTTAAAATATTTTTGTATACTTCTACCACAGGTTTTGTTGACCCCAAAAAATGTTGCCAACAGATGCCGGGCCCACTCGCGCACACGCAAGCTTGATCCAACACGTTAATGCCGATCAACGGTCAAATTGACTCCAGAAAATGAACGTGGGAGTGGCTCAGAGGCACGAGACGTTTCCGTTCAGGCTTCCGACAAGATAAATGTAACGCGATTGTATAAGAAATCAATCGATAAAGAACAATTTGTAGTAGAAAATATGTTGTAGAAGTCACTGTTTAAATGAGAGAGAGATATTGCTCCAAGTATTTAGATTTTTATTCAGAATTTTCATTAGCCCTCTTGTGTTACATGGTGGGGGTATTTATAGTGTTACAAATGAAATAATGACATTTGGATCGATTTACACGTGGCCTCATCTCCTCGGTCAGGACATCAAATCCTAGCCATCAAGTTGACTTTCTTAACCTTACAAATAAGATCTTGAAAAATGCACCTTCCTCGTAGAGTTGCAGCTGCAAAGACCTTATCTTTCTCGAGGGAGCGACTTGAACACTTGGGAGGTAATGATTCTCTCTCTCACTGTATGCGAGTGTATCTATATCTATCGAGGTGTGTGTTCATTCATTGTTTTCTGCCATAGGTGGTTGCAGCAATACCATATCTAGATCGCGAATTGTCACCTCCCAAACACCGGTCATTCTTTATCCCATATCTATGGCAGCAGAAAAATGTGTTTGGCTCGTACAAACTACTTAAGAGAATACTGAAATCTGAAACATAATCTTCTACTCTTTTGGGTTATGGACTTCACGGCTGGCAAGGTTCTATCTCCACGAGGCAGACGTCATGTATATAGAAAACTTTCTTCAATTGGAAAGATGGGCAACAATTTTCATTCTCAATATATTCAGCTTGATTTTTGGTGAACTGGTGGTGATTTTGTAGTTTCAGCTTGAGCTTTCCATGTCATTACTAATTGAGCATCACAGAAAATGATCTGTTGCATGTGTTCTTGTGACTGATAAAATCACAATTTTCTGTTTCTTTACCTTAGTGTAGGTTAAAATGTGAAATTTACTTTTATACTCAGTTTTACGTGATACCATGCTACACTTTCTTTTGGATCGTTCAATAAAACTGCTGTTTATATGTAAAAAAAAGTTGAACACTGGAATTGAACTTAGGTGAAACTTACTTAACTTAAAAGTTTTAAGCAATTGTTATAAGAATATTAAATCATTTTAATTTCTAAATTTACGTCTAAGGTAAGTGTATTTTCTGGTAAACACTAGAATTAGGTGTAACTTTCTTAACTGATAAGTTTTAAGTTTCAAGCAATTGTTATAAGAATATTAAATCATTTTAATTTCGTCTAAGATAAGTGTATTTTCTGGTTAACATTTTGTTAATCCAGTCGACGAATGAAAATTAGAGCTGAAGATGAATATTCAATCGAGACTCATAATTTACATAGATATATCAAGAAACTTAAATTTAATTTGTAATGAACAAACTTTTTATTTTTTATTTTTTTGGTGAAGTATTCAAACATAAAATCTTAATATAAATTAATTGGACATCTAAATTTATTAATAGTTAGTTTAGAAAATAAAAAAAGAAAACCACCCAATATTTTCTTGGCTCAAATATGAGTGAAGGTAAATAGAGAACAAGATTCTCTAAAATTAGGGAGACTCCATAAACCATTTGAGAAATAATTGCTCTACCCTTCCTTCTCTATATAAAAAGCCCTTCAATGCATTCCATTTTTTCATACACATCAAGAGAAGAGAGAAAAAAAAAGGTACAAAAATGGCAAAGGTTGTTGCTCTTGCTTTCTGCATCTTGGCCTTTGCCACCATCGCTCATTGCCACGCACCAGAAGTATTCAATGTCGAAGGCCATGTGTATTGCGATCCATGCCGCGTCAAGTTTGAGACCAAACTCAGTCACAAAATCAAAGGTAAATTTTCGACTATTGTCTATTGTTAGCATATGAGACACCAATTTAGGTAATAGCATTCGAATCATTAAATATACAAATACCTAAAATACCTCTGTATTTTGTTTAGGTGCAAATTTGAAGTTGGAATGCAGTGACCCGATAACTAGGAACGTGACTTACTCGGTCGAGGGTGTAACAGATAGCAATGGACATTACAGGCTCACCGTGGATGGAGATCACGAGGACAGCATCTGCGAAGTGACTCTAACCAAGAGTCCCGAACCTGAGTGCAGCGTGCCAATGGCTGGCCTAGAAAATGCTAGAATTGTGTGCACTCAAAACAGTGGAATGCACAACGACGTTCGTTACGCAAGCCCACTTGGGTTCATGACCAAAGAGTCTGTCTCGGGCTGCAAAGAAGTTCTTGATGAATTGGGTCTGGGCCCACAGGATTTGGATCTTTGAATTATAAGATTATTAAAAGCTTTTGCCATTAATTGGGAGGATATTATGAATAAGTTGTCTTTTACCCCCACCAAATAGTGTAATATGAGAAGTTTGTTAAGTTATGTTATTAATTAATATTTATGAAATGAGTTAATTTCACTTTTTCATTTTCCATATTTTCTTGGCCTTTGTTAACAAGATATTTAATTGTATTTATTTAGCAGGTTGTGGTGCCGGGGGGGGAGGGGGGCGGGGGGTAAGATTTACAAGATATAACCCTCTGCCATTTCTACTATAATAAAAAACATGCCCTCGGGGCACATCCCAACTGGTAAATGACGGGGCTCTTAGTTGCGGTAGTTCAGAAGTCCCGAGTTCGATTCATGGGACTCTTGGAAGGCAAGGTACAATATGCGTTAACTCGCTCGTCACTTTGGTAGATCGGTGGAGGGGGCTCTTGGACCCTGGCCAGTTTGGGATACATCCTGCGATTTATCTGATTTGCGTCTTGAGGAATCAATACATAGACCCATGTATTAGTCGTCGAAGGTGGACACGTAGGTATAAAAAAAAACATATTTTCTAAATGCTTGTTTGACGGAGCTATTAAAAAATCAAAAGTTAATTTTGGCACTATAAAATTGCTTTTGAATATGTGTGGATAACTTTTTAAAAGTGCTTTATCTGACTAGCTTTCTCCAAAAACTCTTCTACAAGAAATAAAAGTAGAAATAGAAATTATGTCTAATGGTCTCTAATTCTTTGATTCGAGTTAGTAAGAGAGATATCGAACCAATAAATGTGTCGTAGAAGGTACACTCTTCTTGATTTATTGTCCGTTATATGCCTTTGCGAGTAATAACTAATTCATGGAAAGGTTAGAATATTTTTAAGGAAAAAAAATCATATTTTTTTGGGAAAAAGATTTGATTGTCAAATAAGAAGAGATTGTACGAAATGAAATTTTATTTGCTTTAAAAAACTGATTAAAATTTGTTATCGCTTTTACTCAAATTTTTTTCTTGTTTGCAAAAAACATGCATTCGATTGGAAGGCAATTGAGATTTCGAGCATATTTTAGCCTTAGTTTTTGTCAAAAATATATTTTAAAATAGTGATTTGATGGAGAATGTTTGATTAAAAAATAAGAAAAAGTTTTGAATTTAAGTATAATATTATTTTACGAAAGAATGTATGGTTGAAAATAAAAAATATATATATTTGGAAATAATGGAGACCAAACAAAAACTTTATATCGACTTGAAAGTTTTTACTTTCTCGACATAGACTAGTCGTCCACATAAAAAAATTGGCTAAGGCACTTCAAATGATTGTAGCCATTGCGAGGGACGTCCTTTAATTTATATATCTTAAGGTCGAACTTTCTCAATGTAATCTCTCATACATCTCTGAATGTTTAGAATTACCATATTCGAGCAAGTTGATTTATGGTAATCCTTGACCTACATATCTCTTATATAGTCATAGTGAAAGTTCGATATCGTTATCGTAGTCAAGAATTGTTTGAAAATATTCATATTGAGCCAAGTCATCGTCTCGAGAATTTTGATTCTACATGAAACATTTCTGGGACAAGTTTGGTCGCAACTTGCAAGATGGTCATTTTTTTTCATTTCGTTTCTAATGGCTACAAGTGGATTCTTTATGTCGCTGTTTGGTGAAGATTAAAATCAGAATTTTAGCAGATTTTTATAATAGTTAATAAAATATATGGTTGAAAAGTTGAGAATTTCACAAAATATATGATCAAAATAAATTGTTGACTTTGCCCTTTCCACCGAGCAGGAGAAAACATTAAAAAAATAATAATAATAAATTGTGGGGGAATCTATAAAATTCTAATAAATGAAGCCCCAGGTCTGCAAAACAAAAACAATCCATTTCCCAATTATGAGCGGAATAATATTAATGGGTTAAATAATCCTAAAAAGAATACCCAACCAATTTTCTCTTTTGAGTAGAACGGCTTCACTTTTTTCTAGTGAGAGAAACAAAGAAAAGCCATCTTAGCGTAAACTCTCCGTCTGAAGGAAAACTTGTGCAAATTCAATGGCCAACAGCAATTTACCGCGAAGAATCATCAAGGCATAAATCTGGGTTTCGCGCTTTACTTTCGATCCCTCGTTTTCTTGCATGAATTCTTACGATTTAATTTGACTTTTGATTATGCTTTTTTAGCGTAATTTCTTTTGCATTTTAATGGGTTTTTGTTTTTTTGTGATCTAATAGGAGACTCAGCGTCTTCTCAGCGAACCAGGTAACCCCTATAATTTTCTTACGCGTCTGCACATGTATGTGGTGCGTTTGTGTCTGTACTCTGTTGGAAAATTTTACACTTGAACTTAATAATATGCACACATTAACTGTTATAAAAATATGGAGAATGTCACAATGGAAACAAAAAGAAAAGAAGGTGAATAAGGAAATGGAAACAAGACTTGATCAAGATGTTTGTATAGTTGTCCTCAAACGATATTTGCCTTTTTCAACAATGCTTTTTAGGATTAAATGGCAAATAGTTTGTAGGATTTCAAGCCTAGAAATGTATAACACCAAAAGCTTAAGTGATTCTTCAAAAATAGAACAAGTGAAATGGTATAATTTGATTATGTGAAGAACAATAATTTGGCCAAAATTTTGGGATGAAAAAGAGATGATTCCAAAAGTAAAAAAATTATCTATTGTAATGATAATTAACTTATATTTATAGTACTCAATCGTCCCTACACGAAATGGTTCCAAACCATGGTGAAAATGTGTATCATTTCACAAGAAAATCACCAGAATTTTGAATCCAACGGTCAAAATCCTATACTATGCGACCGCATAGGCTATAACTATGCGGTCGCATAGTTACAACCACGGTCGCCCATATATTCCCCGAATAGGTCTATGCGACCGACCATTTTGAAGGCACCAACCGTGTTTTTTCTTTCATCTTCTCAAATCATTCACAATCTCCCCTTTTGATTTTGAACAACAATAATAAGATTCCAACATTAACACGTTACCTGATGTAGAACTACATATCAATGTATTTATCTTTGTTAAAGATTTAATCTTGAGTTGTTTCTTATCTATTTGAATTTTTTATTTATTTTATCCTCGTTCTCCCTTGTTTTGGTGATTTTTTGAATTTATTTCATTGTTTTTACTTGTAATTTGTAAATAATGGTTCATTCGTATATTCAACTCTCTTGCCATTTAATTCTGGTTTAAATATATATTATTTTGTTTAAATTTGATCTCTGGCATATCTTATATTAATTTCGTTTTACTTGTTCGGTATCTGCTGTCTCTTTGTGCCTCTTTAAGTTTTCTTTGTTATTTGTAAATAGAAATGGTTTCCATGTTGAGAAATATGGGAAATATTGGCTCGTGGGATCTTAAGAATTCGATCTTAGTTACCTAGTTAGGTCTTAGTATATTTGTACTTGTTCCCCGCTAATTCTTATTGATGCTTAACTGTCAAAACTTGTGAGTGTTTTTTTAATTGATTGAGATATGGGATTAGAGTTTGAGGCTTCTAAGGGTTCTTTTGATTTGTGGATGCAGCTCCAGGAATAAGTGCATCTCCATCCGAAGAGAATATGCGGTATTTCAACGTAATGATTCTTGGTCCAACGCAATCTCCTTATGAAGGTAATTTGAGCTGGCATTATATGTTGCCTTAATATACATGCTTGTTAGAATCATTTTCTTATGTTTATGCTCTTTAAGGTCTGTTAGTAAGTGTGGGGATGTTTGCGTATTGATTTTCTCATATTTATTCGTAAACTGTTTTGTTGGTTCAAACTTCCTAAAAGACCCCTCTTCCCTAGACCCCTCTTTAAGTGCATCTCATAAGTTTTTTGGTTCAAACTATTTTTTAGTTTGGTTAAAAATAAAAATCGTAGTTTCTTTTTCTCTCTCTCTCTCTCTCTTTTTTGGTCCTGTCAGTGCTTGAATTTTTGTAAAGGAAATAGGTGACTTTTATGGTGTTTAAAACCTCCATCTTGTATATTTGCGTGGGTACATTTTAAGGGCATTAATCATGGTCTGCGACATGGTACTGGAATTGAGCCTTATTTAGCCCCTGTTTGCCCCCCCCATTATCCCGAAAAATTATTTTTCTTTTCTCTTATTTTCAACCACACAATCTTCCATAAAATAATATTACACGTAAACCGAAAACTTTTCATTCTTTTTCAATCGCACATTCTCAAAAAAAAAAACTATTCCAAAAATTATAATTGCCACATAATGGAGGCCAAACGGGGGGCCCTTTGAATTTTGATGGTTTTTAATCAACATATGATGAACTAATTTCAATGTTGTTTTACGGTGTCGTAATGACCTTTGTAGGAGGTGTTTTCAAGCTGGAATTGTTTTTGCCTGAAGAGTACCCAATGGCTGCTCCCAAGGTATTCTGAAAAGACTCCTGTATGGTGGATTGTGTTTTGGTTTCTTTTATTTAGTAGCATAGTTCTTCCCCTGGCCCTCAGAGTTCATAGAATTTGACAACGGGGGATTGAAGAACACTTGGCAATATGGAAAGTGTCTTTGTTCTAATTTGCTCACGATATAAATTCTATCAACTAATTAAAATGTTCATTTGCATTTGACATAAAGTGGTCCTTCCTTGTGTGTTGGATTCTCATTCCTCTATTCGACGAGCAAAATTAATTAATTGATTATTGTTCTTTTGGGTTGGGGAAGGGAGAAATATTATGGATGTTGCCCTTTTGTTGTTTCAATTAACTCTGTTTGTATTGTATTTTCCACTGTGCACCATGTACTAGTTTTTACACTTTCTACAAATTTTATCTTTGCGGTTGGAGCTCCCTAAGAGAAAAATAGCAGAAGAAACAATAATTGCTAGTCATATAGCATATCGGTAATTTACTGTTTCGTTCAATTATATGAGCTGTAATTCAGCGTTAAGAGACTTGTTAAATTTTAAGTTGGTGCTTTTTTGCTTGGTAGAACCTGACACTGTTCTGGTACTTCCCTCTGTT